TCCATCCCGAGCACCAGGGGGAAGGGGCATAGAGGCAATGTCCAAAGTTCGCAACTCCCGGTGCTGCTGGAAACACAGGACCAGGGGCTGGGTCTCCTGAGTAACGGCACCTGAACACAGAAGTCGTCCGTCAATCGCTTCCACCTGGACTGGTACTGGCTTGTTCCAAGTGGCACCTGATGATGGGCGGCAAAAGCAGCGTCCATATAAGAGCGGGTTGCCCCTGAATCCACCAAAGCATGGGTGGGGATCCAGGGCCCACCTGGAGGGTATAAACGCACCGGAACCATAAGATGTTGCGAGTCCATTGGATGCAGGCCCATTCTGCGCGGTTTGGGACCCCGGCAGCTAGGGCCATCAGCCACTGGGGCTGGCGGCTTCTGCGGCTGGCGTCTCAGGGCAAGACCGAGCGGCGTGTCCACTTCCGCCACAGTAAAGACAGAGATTTCTCCCGACGCCGCGCCTTCTCTGCGGGGGAAAGGCGTGGCCGCACTGCCCCGAGCTGCATAGGCTCCTCCGCTAAATCAGCTGTGACCGTGGGGCTGCCGGAAAAGCTGGTGCCGTGAACTGGAAGTGTCGGCGACCCCGGGCCTGACGACGATCCTCCAACCGGTCGTCTATTTGTAGACTCCGTTGAATGAGAGTGTCTAGCGTGGTGGGGCGCTCCATTGTGGCCAACTGGTCCAGTACCTCGTCCGAAAGCCCTTCGAGATACTGGTCCCGCAGTGCCGAATCATTCCAGGTCAAGTCCTGTGCCAACAGCCGAAACTCCGTGGTATATGCGGCCACCGTGGACTTGCCCTGTTTCAAACGCCGAATCGCCCGGTTGGCTTGACTCCTTTCTGGGGGCTGCCGAACGCGGCCTCCAAACGATTGCAAACCCCGTATAGTCTGCCAGCAAGGGGGAGTCTTGCCTGAGTAGCGGCAACGCCCACTTGGCCGCCTGGTCCTTTAACAAACCAATCAAAAAGTGCACCTTGGTGCGGTCGTCAGGAAAGTTCCGGGCTCGCCCCTGAATATACAGCTTGGCCTGGGCCAGGAACATGGGAAAGCTGGCCGGGCTCCATCAAATTTCTCAGGCAAAGCCACTGGGTACTTGCCAGGAGCCGAGGCGTCGGCCCCAGGAGCCGGTAGGGCTTCCAAGCGTTGCTGAAGTGCCACAACCGCGCCACTGAGCTGCTGCACGGTGTGAGTCAAGGCCTGGTTCTTCTGGGCCAAAGCCACCAGTGCAGCCGCCTGGTCAGCCATGGCCTCTGGCTCTTCCCGAACGCACCCCTACGAAGGGGGAGTGCGGGTTTGGCGGGAGCAAACTGTGCTGGTCCCGGGGTAAGGTACCTTGGGTGTAGCAGAGTCCACACGAAGAGGGGCAAGGTCCGAGGCAGAGAGCCGGGCGGGGAACAGGAATGCTGGAACAGGAGGCTGTGCAGGGAACAGGAACACCGGATGGTCGGGAACAGGAGGCCGAGCAGGGAACAGGAGTACCGGATAGTCAGGAACAGGAAGCCGAGCAGGGATCAGGAACACAGGAAGGTCCGGGCCAACAACGACGCTGCTCCCGCAACCTGGGGCCGGGCTGACTGGGCTTTTATCCTCTTCTAAGGCCAGGGGCGGTCCCGGTCCCCAGGAGCCCCGCCTCCTCTGGCCTTAAGGCGAGCACTCCTCCTGGGGGCAACCAGTTCCCTTCGCCTCTCTGCCCTAAGCCTCTGCAGATCAGGAGAGGCCGAAGGGTTACTGGGCCCTGGAGGAGGCTCACCTGTGGCCACTGAGTCATCAAGCCCCTCTGGGGCCCGAAGGGCTTCACCTGGGGCCAGCTCCTGATGCACTGCCACAGGTGCAGGCTCTTCAGCATCAAGGCCTTGCCCCAGTTCAGCCGGCCCTGGAGGCGGGGACTCCTGTGCAGGCCGGGATTCCTCTGTTTCATCCTCCGAATCGGAATCCCAGGCCATCACAGATGCCTTATGAGGAACGGCTAAGGAGCTGGGCATGTTTAGCCTGGAGAAGAGGAGGTTAAGGGGTGATATGATAGCCATGTTCAAATATATAAAAGGATGTCACATAGAGGAGGGAGAAAGGTTGTTTTCTGCTGCTCCAGAGAAGCGGACACGGATTAATGGATCCAAACTACAAGAAAGAAGATTCCACCTAAACATTAGGAAGAACTTCCTGACAGTAAGAGCTGTTTGACAGTGGAATTTGCTGCCAAGGAGTGTGGTGGAGTCTCCTTCTTTGGAGGTCTTAAGCAGAGGCTTGACAACCATATGTCAGGAGTGCTCTGATGGTGTTTCCTGCTTGGCAGGGGGTTGGACTAGATGGCCTTTGTGGTCTCTTCCAACTCTATGATTCTATGATTCTATGATTCTATGAAACACTAATTATAGTTTTTACCAAACAGAAATACTAAAGATTTAGAGCAAATTGTTTTGGCAGATGCCTTTTCCAACTGGTTGGATGTGAATAAAAAAATTACCTTGCTGTTTCTTAATTTTTTAGTTGTTGCAATAGAAATGCAACATATTGGAAACATAAGTGAATTTTGGGAAATACAGACTTGACACCTTAACAACATGTAGCTTCAACCTGGCATCCTTAGTTACCGCAAATAAAACACTTCTTAGTATTATATTATCAGTGTTCTGCATCTATGACCTCAGATATAGCTAGAGATGGGAGAGAAATTCATTTCAGTTTGCCTTTAAAGGGAACCCACATAATTTGCACTTCGCAAAACAATGAACAAGCGGAAGAACAAGCAGGCTTTGAAATCTGCCTTTGAAGAAATAGCTATATATCGTATATACAAGGGCAAACTATATGGAATCATAGAATCATATAATTTTTGCATTGGGAGGTACCCCAAGGGCCATTTAGAGCAATATGGTCAAGCAGCTCTTAATGCCAGAAAGGACTTCTGAGTGTTTAGTTGGAATCTGCTTTCTTTGAATCTATCGGTTTGGTTCCTACCTACTGAAGCAGTGGAAAACAAGCTTGTTTCATCTTCCTGTTAGATATTTGAAGATGGTTATCTTTACTTTTCTCAAGGAAAACATACCTAAGTGCCTCAAATATTCCTCATCAAGCTTGGCTTCGGAGCAGGAGAAAACAAGCTTGCTCCATCCTGCATGTGACAGCCTTTCAGATATTTGAAGATGGCTATCATATCTCCTTTCAGTCTCCTCTTTACTAGGCTAAACATACCCAGCTCCCTCAACTGTCCCTTGTCAGCCTTGGTTTCCAGACCCTTTATCATCTTGGTTGCCCTCCTCTGCACATCTTCCAGTTTGCCAATATCCTTCTTCAAGTGTGACACCCAGAACTGGACACAGGACTCTTGGTGGGGTCTGACCAAGGCAGAAGAGAGTGGGACTATCACTTCCCTTGAATGGGACACGAGACTTCTCTTGATGCAGCCTAGAATTGCATTAGGTGGTGGTGCTGCTGTTATTTTTGCTGCTGCATCATACTGTTGACTCATGCTAAGCTTGTGGTCTACTAAGAAACTGTATGTAACCAAATGGGGCAAATGTGCTGGACAATTGCATTTCTTCATAAAGTTCCCAGGTGAGTTGTACACATACACTGTCAAAAGTCTAGGCTTAAAGCAATGGGCACCCAAGTGGTGGCTGCTGACTCCCAGGGTGTCACCAGTGTCAACCATGGAGCCCATAAGGGATATTGTTTTTCCAATTCTGATGGTTTATATTGCTATGACATTTGTTTGCATAATGCACAAGAATATCTAAACTAGTAATTTTGGCAATGATTGGTGTTATTATAATTTTCCTTGTGTCCTGTGTATTTTCTTCTTTGAGATATATGTAGTCAGTGGCACTTGATGAGGAAGTTGAAGGCCGCTTTTGTCCAAGAGAGAGATTGTTGTTATTACTAAATTTGTTCCCTGCATCACACCCTAAATTCCTGGGGTGCCAACTTGAATAAAATATGGGGGGGCAGGTAAGCCCCACCCCACACAATTGGTCACAAGAAGTGGCGCACTCACAGCATTTGAATGGCAGTGCCCATTGACCTGGGTGGGGGCCTGGACCCCACAAATATTTTTTGCTCAATCTAAGTTCTTGGCAGAGCTATGCACAGTTTCTGGCCCGGATTTATAAATCTGGATCAGACTCTATAGGGTCCAAACTGACCCAAACCTGATTTGCCCTGCCCTGCATCCACATCCAGATCATGATCATGATCCAGAAAATAGAGTTCCCCAGTCTGGAGGTGGTCAAGAATAAGAAACCAACACAGAGGAAACTGGTGAGACACAAATTTATTCAAAGATCAAGATCAGAGGTCAGAGTGAATGATATCCCAGGACTACTCAAGCTCTAAGATATGGACATACACACACTATTTTCTTCCCCTTATTAGGCTTTCCTTGTTGTTCAGGTCAGACCTCAGCACAATGATGTAGCATTTAGGGAAAAAGATGCAACCCAGTAAGCCAGCACTGGAGGACAAGATGGAGAAGACCTCCACGGCTACCATGTATTTCCCTTTGGTGCTCAGGTAGGTTGGAACAAAGGTCAGCCAAACACTGCAGAAAACCAACATGCTAAACGTGATGAATTTGGCCTCGTTAAAACTGTCCGGTAACTTTCTGGCCAGGAAAGCCACAAGGAAACTCACAACGGCCAGAAAACCCATATAGCCCAAAGCACAATAAAACATGGCAGCTGAACCCTCATTGCACTCAAGGATGATCTCACTCTTCAGTGACTGCATGTCTGTATCTGGGAATGGAGGGGAAGCACTTAGCCAAAGGGTGCAAATGCCAGCTTGAAGGAAAGAGCAGGAAAAGACCACGCAGTTGGCCAGCCCCTTCCCCACCCATCTCCTCATTCTGGATCCTGGCTTGGTTGCCATGAATGCTAGAACTACGGTGATGGTTTTGGCCAGAATACTGGAAAGGGCCACCGAGAAGACAATGCTGAAAGTCATTTGTCAGAAGAGGCAGGTCCCTTTTCCAGGCTGACCAATGAAAAGCAAGGAGCAGAGGAAGCAGAGAAGGAGGGAGATGAGGAGGAGGTAGGTGAGGCTGCGGTTGTTGGCTTTGACGATGGGAGTGTCCTTGTGCTTCACAAAAGTCGCCAACACGAAGGTGGTGATCAGGGAGAAAGCCAGAGCAGAGACAGCTAAGCTGAGCCCTAACTTTTCTTGGTAGGAGAGGTAGCTCAGCCCCCTTGGAATACACCCTGTTTGGTCCTGGTTTGGGTAGTTTTCTTCTGCGCACTTGACACAGGCATCCATATCTGGAGAGTGGAGGGGGAGAAGATGGAACAATTAAAAATGTCAAGATGATGACCTACATCTACCTGAAAGAATCAGTTACGGCAGGCAGTGAAAGTGTTCTTGAAATTGTTTGACAAACTGCAAGAGATTGGACACCCATAATTTCAGGGAGAGGGTTTGAATGTTGCTGAGCTTATTCACCAGTCTTAAAAGTAGTTCAACTCTTCCAAGATCAGGTACTCACGGATAGATGTTTTAGATGCCAAATTGTCCAGGAAAAAGGCAGCGCTCTCCGATAACGGCAGTGCGGCTTTGCTGCACGGAGGAAGCAGTCGACTCACAGCACCACGCACCTCCCACTCCGGAGCCCGTTACCGGGCTCCTGTACAAGGGGAGAGAGCGCTCTCTGTGCCCGCCGAGTCCCACGTCCACAGGCTTCTTCCGCCTGTGTTTTTTGAGGGTCCCCGCTGCGCCGTAGCGGCAGGACCCAAGCCTCCGTGCAGCGGGTTCCCTTCAGTCCGAAGGGAATTCCGCCATTTTCCGGAGGCGCCACCCCGGAAGTCAAATAATATTGGACTTGAAATTGAACTCAATTGGGACTCGGAACGCGAAGGTCTAAACAGGAAGTCAGCCTTCCGTTCTTTTGTTACGTGAAGAAAGCAAAGACAAAATATACTAAAGCTTGAAAATTAAATTCTGAGAGAACTAGAATTCAACATCTAAGATTTCTGAACCCCCTTTGACTGCAGGAGAAGAAGGGGTTGTATTTGGATTTTTCAATCCTGCGGAAGTGAGTTTAAAATAAAGCAATTTTCCACCGCCCTGAACCAGGAGCGGGCTGTCAGAATTGACGTTTTGAAGTTTATCCAGCTCGACAGTTAGTTAAAAGAAGGGTAACATTTTGATTCTACTGTTGCCTCTTGAATTTGGAAGGGGGAATTTTGGATAAAGTGTTTCTGGAAAAAGAAAGATTGTTGCTGTTGCTTTTATTCTTTTTTTAAAAAAAATTTCCATCTAGTGGAATTTAGTGAAATTGCAACGCAGAGAGTTTAAAAGAGAAGGACTATTGGACTATTGTCGTGGGAAAGAATTTTCTTTGACCTTGAAGGACAATGCTAGTACAAAGGCTTGAACAATTGTTCCTGGAAGGTTTTTCAAAACTAAGTGCCCAGCTGGACCAGATGCGTCAGGAGACGACCTTGATGATGGAAGTTACCAGAGCACAGCAGCAAACAAATGAAATTCAGTTAAAGGCTATACAAGCATATGAACCTGCTGTAGTGACGGAGGCTTCAGAGATGGAGGGACCTTTGGACGGGCGAGATCAGCCTTTGAACTTGACAAATGAACTTGGGACAAACCAGATTCGGAAAGATGAAATGTGGTCAGATTTGGAAATGGGGGGATGGATCGACCCCCCTCTATATGGTTATTTGGACCTTCCGAGTCTAGTGATAGGCTATCAGAGGATTGGAGTAGCCGAAGTCTCCAAGCTTTGTGGAAATTTGAAGTGGTATTATCTGCTGTCTGGCTTGGGCAATGGGTTTGGGATGGACTTGCTGCAAAGAGTCAAAAGCATTTTCTTGCTGGAGTATCCACGACTGGAAGGGAATCATCAACAAGAGTGGCGAAAGGGGCAAGAAAGAGACTTGAGGGCCTCGGATACGAGACAACCAGGTTAAGGAGCCGGATTATTGAGGTTAAAAGGACTGACAATCCCGGGTCCAGGGGAGGGAGGTTGGAAGCTGACTGGACTGAATTTGACTTATTATTTTTTCCTTTTTATTTTTAATATTGGGAATGTTTATAAATGTTTGAAGGATGTTGAATGAAATTACATGGCTTAAGTAAGGATTGGTAAATGATTCGTAAAAAGGTAATGATGTAAGAATTTGGTAAATATCGAATATAAGCTATGAGTTTTAAAGTTTTTATATGACAAGAGGGAAAATAGAATAAGGAAACGTAATGACAGATTGTTATGAAAAAACAGAAAGGATTTGCTGTAAAAATTTAAAATTAAGAAACAAGAGAGGGAGGAGGAGGAAGTCTAGAAAGGAAGTAAATAGAGATTGTAAAGGACTTTATATTTTTGTTTTTCTGTTTTTCCTTTTTTTCTTTGCGGCTGGGTTTTCTTTTTCTTTTTGTTTATGTACTATTTTTGCTTTTTGTATTTTCAAAATTTTTTGGAAACTTTTGTTGTTATTCTTTGAAAACTTAATAGATATCAATTATAAAAAAAAAAATGAATGTTGCTGAGCTTGGTCTAGTACATGCATATCCTCTAACATTCCTCTGATGAAAATAGGGATGTCCAGTTACATAAACATATTTTTATTATTTATACTTTGCCCTGCTGCTCTGGGTAGCTTCCAACAGATATAAAAACATAATAGAACATTAAGCATTCAGAAAACATTAAACATACAGGGTTGCCTTCAGATGGCTCAGGGGTCAGATTATTTTATAGCCGCTAACATTTCCCCAATCAAGCTAGGGAATTCCTAAGGAAAAGCAAGGCATTCTGGGATCAAATCAGAAACCAGGATGGCTTCTGTAAAACCAGGACTGTCCCTGGAAAATAAGGACCCTTGGAGGGTCTAGTAGATGCAGATCTCATCTAAAACCAAGAATGCACTAGGAAGTTCAATTATTCCCATAGTATATTTGTATCTGCTTGTTGTTATTGAAAATCTTCATAAATTAATTACAAAATAAAATGTATTCCAAAAGGGAAAAGAAAAGTTTGGTGACAATTTTGTGCTTCCTGTGCACGGCTTCTTTTATTAGTAGTAGCAGCAGCAGCAGCAGCAGCAATAATCATAATAATAACAACAATAATTTTATTCTTATATCGCCCATCTGGCTGGGTTTCCACAGTCACTCTGGGTGGCTTAGACCCGATATAAAAACACAACAAAACATCAAACATTAAAAAAGAGAATATCCTATACACACAACAAACAAACCAATAAATCAATAATAACTATAATAACAGTTTAGTTCTACCCACATTAAAATGACAACCAACCCCAACTAAAGATCTAACCAACCCCAACCCCAACTCGACAAAAGCAAAACAGAGGAACCAAAATTAGAACCGTTTAAAACATTGTAAAACTAGGCTTGCCCTATTCTTTTTTGTTGAAGTTGTTGAGCCTCTGAGGAGCCTTTCAGGGCTCCCTAGGATAGCTGGACATGGACCTTGCAGAAGGGAGTGCTTTTCCTTCCAGCCTCTTGGCAGCAGCAAGGTCCCTTCTGCACTGACTTCCCTCTCTTGTTCATGGGAGCTTTGATGTTTGCCTTCCTTCTACAACCCTTCCCACGCAGCCATGCTTCCGGAAAACATCAGGACACCCTCAAATGGGTTTGTTTGAGATAGCCTTTCATTTGCCAGGCAACTGTTCATTTTGTTCAAATATTTTTTGCATTCAAAGAAAGCAGAGGTGAAATATATATTTGAAGGAAATGGGAAGAAGAGGGCTGTGATGTATTCAGTTCTCTGTGTTTGCCTGAGCTTGAGCCCATGTGTTCTGATTCGATACTTTAAAAAAAAAAAAAAGATACTTGATGTCCAATCGCAGAACGTTTCAGGATTTGGGCTACTGCCATTGGCCCTTAACCTCAAAGTTATGATGCGCAGCTTGGGAGTTTAGACAGCCAATCACATTGAGAGTGGGAGTGGCCTAGCCCTTCAGAAATGTATACAAGCAGTTGCTATGCCCCTGTTGGCCAGTTCTGTTAGTTCAATAAAGGTTCTTGCTGCTATCACTGTGTCTCGCTTCGTGGGAACACAGCTACACTTCAAGGGCCTCCTAGCCACCTGAATCTATTTGTGACCTGAGGTCTCTGAATACAGAGACTGACAAAGGTTCAAGTAAAGGGCTTTTCTTTAGGTGCGGAACTCCCAGAGAATGGATCCCACTTTTCCATTTTTAAAATATTCATCTGATTGATCATATGGCTGATGTGTGTGATTTAAATACCCCTTAATAGTCTGTTTTAAATTAGAAATATATTGTTATTTAATCCTGCCTTTCTTCCAATTATCTCAATGCAGCATATATCATTCCCCTCATTAGATCTTCACAATAATCCTGTTTGGTAAAATAGTGACTGGCATAAGGTCAAAATGTCCTTGTTTTTTTTAAAACAAGATTTTAAAAATAAAGTTGCTTGTTTAGTTTTCTTTAACATATGTATTGCAGAATGCATTCAAGGGGACATACATTTTCCAAAGAAAGGAGGAGCAAGTATATTATGCTAAGTGAGTGTCTTGATATCTCTGTCCATGTTGCCTCTTACCCTTCTGGTTAGAGATTGTCCCTTCTGGACATGGAAAACAATCATAGCAGCAGAATTTCTCTCCCTCCTTCTTTTTCCTGCTGGAGCCAGGATAGCAGTTGTCGTTGCACACAGAAACTGGCAGCCCCTGCACAGAAACACGCACAGGAGATTAGTAGGAATATATGAACCCTCATGATAAGGAGCGTGTGCATGGGTCTGTGGACATTTGTTAGACCCTAGATTAGCGTTTCTCAACCAGGGGCCATATAGCCCCCTGGAGGCCCCCAGGATATTCCAAAGGGGCCACAGGTGAAAACCACATAAATAGGGGTCCCTGACAAGAGACTAGGGGGCCAGGTTTCAGTCGTGTGAATTATTTACTCTGCCTAACGTGGAGTGGATTACTGTCATCATGCCCAGAATATGGCATTATCAAGCAGAGATAAAGTAATTAAACAAGAAAAGAGATAATGCGGGATTTGACCAAAACAAATTATGGAGAAAGGAAGAAACTTTCAAAAGTGTTGAAACTTGTTTGCCTCTCCGTCATACAGTCTCCATTCTCTAGATGTTGGCAGATTATACTACATCTCCAATCATCCTTGATTATTGGCTATCCTGCCTGATGATGATGGGAGTCGTAGCCCAACAACATTAGGGGACCCAACATTGATTTTTTTTTTTTTTTTACAATATCAGGGATGGATCTACATTCATGGTTTATAACATTAAGAAAGGGTTAAGGAAAGATTTTCAAAACCTAAGAGCCACATTACATTTAGCTTAGAACGTTGATAATGCATTATTAAAATGGGACACCAGAGGTTGCTGCAGAACAACCAGGAACCAGGCAGTGAGGGGAACAGCTCTTTTGTAAGTAATGAACGCTTTTTTAAGCAATTATGTTTTAGAACGATATAGTTAAAATCATTCTAATGACATTAAAAAGGTCAGTGTACATCCAGGTCTGGTCTCAGACTGCTACATCTCACCTGATTAAAGCTTTTATGCCACACAATCTGATCATCATAAATGGTTAACTTTTTGCCGAAAGGAGCCTGAGGGTTCAGTTTTCCAACTTTGGCTCTAATCACTGAACCATTGGGGTAACTCCTCCAGTTTGTAACATCGAAACCTACAACTAATTCTGTATTTTCATTAAAGTATACAGTATCTCCAGCACTGTTGTTGAATATGATGCTCCGTAGAAATTGATGGACCTGGATTGAAGAAAGAACAGTCTATGGTAGAAAATCTTAAATTAACTAGAGATTTAAACACCCATTGGATAGAGAATTTACTTTTTTCTCAGAGCCAAATTGATCTGTGGGAAGAATCAACTCAGTATGGATATCTAATCAGTATGGATATCTAATGAACTAACATTAAAAACTAAAAAAGTGGAGCTACAACCTAGGACACTCTTGGAGTATATTTCATTACTGTTGGAATTAAGAAGAGAAGAAAACTCACCTTTCAGATGGAGACTAAACAAAAGCTTATTAGACAATAAAAATTACCTTGCAGAAAGCAGGGGAAAACCCTGAGAGATTATTTTGAACTAAATTTGAAGCAATGTATGGATATAAATGTGGTTTGGGGCACAATTAAAGCAGTAATGAGAGGTTTTTTTATACAACAAAATACTCTGCAAAAAAAAGAGAGAGAGAGAAGAGAGAAGAAAAAGAAAGAGTTACTCGATGAACTGATTAAACACGAAAAACAAATAATTAAAAAAACAGGAAATGAATCAACAAAACAGAATATAAAGATGTTACAAACCTAATTTTCAATGTTGGTAAATCAAGAAATTGAATGGAAAATAAAATTGATAAAACACAAATTTTGAGTTTGCAAACAAATGAGGAAAATTGCTAGCATAGCAGTTTTTTTTTTAAAAAGCAAGGAAGTTGGATTGGAAAATGAAGATAAAATTGATCCATATTTAAAGTAGAATGTCCTACAAAAGATTCCAAAAGAAAAGATAAACCTTTTAAATGCACCAATAATGATGATGGAACTGCAACAAGCAAGAGGACAAGCTAAATTAGAGAAATTGCCATGACCAGATGGACTTTCAGCTAAATATTTCAAAAAATCTGCAAGATCAGTTGGCACAACCATTGAAAGATGTAATGAATAGGATAATGAATTCGAGTCAATTGCCAGATTCTTGTTTATATTACATTATTTCCGAAACAGGATTCAGATTTACTTTTAGTTAAAAATTACAGGCCGATCTCACTATTGAATAATGACTACAAATTATTTGCCAATATTTTGGCAAACTGTTTGAAAACAGTGTTAAAAGAAACAATCCACCAAGATCAAACTGGCTTTCTACCTGGCTGCCAGATGAAAGATAATACAAGGAATATAATAGACATAAAAGAGTATCTGGAGGCCAGGAATGAAAAGCAAGCGGATTTGAGGTTTATTGATACAGAGAAGGCCTTTGATAATGTTTCTTGGATTATTATGAAAAAGACAATGGAAATGATGGAATTTGGAGAGCCATTCCTTAGAGGAATTGACGCTATATATTCTGAGCAGAAAGCCATGCTGATTGTGAATAATGTAGTAACTGAAAAATGTGGAATTACAAAGGGAACAAGACAGAGTTGTCCCATGTCACCATTACTGCTTATACTAGTCTAAGACATCCTAGCAAGAAATATAAGAGCAGATGAAGGAATAAAAGGAATTACGGTGGGGAGTAAAGCATATAAACTGAAAGCTTTTGTGGACAACCTTGTGATAACAGTTGAAGAACCCCTGGTCAACATACCAAGGCTGTTAGATAAGATTCAGAAATTTGGAAAAGTAGCCGGTTTTATGAATTCAGTCTGTTTGTTTGTTTGTCTGTCTATCGTTCTTTCTTTCATCTGTCTATCATCTATATCTATCATCTATCTATCTATCTATCATCTATCTATCTATCTATCTATCTATCTATCTATCTATATCTATCATCTATCTATATCTATCTATCATCTATCTATCTATCAAATCTATCTATCATCTATAATCATCTATCATCATCATCATCATCTATCTATCATCTATCTAGTAAAAAAAAAGGCAAATGAAATCGAAAAACTGCAACAGTTGGTAATGATAAGCATCCTAGCTGACCTCAAAGGACACATCATTATTCCTTAAAATCTTATTCCCTTTGTTTCTGTTTTGTCCTCTAGATAGATAACAAGAGAGTTCCCCCTGCAATGCAAGAATCTCAGCTCAAGCATCCATGACAGCTCTTCATGGTAGAAATTTCTTCCTGACAAGTATAATACAGTGATTAAGGATAAGAATAAAAACAACAACATGGGAGGGTTGGGAAGTAAATATATATATATAAAAGAGTATGCGAAGTAAATTGATTTAATGTTTTTGAAAAACCTAATAAATACTACTACTACTACTACTACTACTACTAATGAAAGTTCTTCCTGATGTTCATTCAGAATCTCCTTTCTTGTAACTTGACACCTTTGGTTTCGGTCCTACTCTCCAGAGCAGGAGAACACAAATCTGCTCCATCTTCCATGGGAAAGCCCTTGAGATACCTGAAGATAGCTATCGCATCTCCTCTCACTCTTCTCTTATCCAGGCTAAACATACGCAACTCCCTCGACTGTTCCTTGTCAGGCTTCATTTCCAGAGCCTTGATCATCTTGGGCTCCCTCCTCTGCAGGCAACCCACTATCTGCTGACAGGAATGGCAAAGAGCCAAATTTGAAAACCAGCCCTCTTTACTCCACTTCTTCTCTCCACCGTAGCACCTCTCCTCTCCTCCTTCCACCCAATACACAACTCTGGACTGCAGGGGTGGGAACTTAGTTACCTAAAAAATTATCTGATTTAATTACCTGCCATGGTTCCACATTCTGAAATGCCGTTTTTCGTCCTTCATTCAATCTTCTATGCATGGATTTGAACTGGAATATAGCATTCAGAGCATGTGCCACAGCATGGATAGCATTGTAGACATTGTAGCTGTGGCCAGTCATTTTCATTTCAAACAAACCTCCAGGAAGACTCTCCAGATTCTCTTCCCCAGTGCAGGTTTTATTCTCCTCTCCTTCCCACTCCTTGGACGTTGTTAGCAAACAGCCAAAAGCCTGTTCCCAGAAGTATTGAATAAAGCCATCTCTTTTGAACCATGAAGGTCTTACCATCTGAAGGAACTTTTGGAAACCCTCAGGCTGATTTGAGTGAACTGTGAAAGATATGGACCCATGGAAGGTTTGTAAATCCCAATTCTTTTGAATAGAGTGTGATGCAAAATCCCAGTGAGATGTAACAATCCAGACTTTGCCCCGGAATGGCAATTCCAAGAATGGTGCTACAAAAATGAGCATTCTCAAAGCCTGAAAGGATGGAGGTTCTCCATATACAAAAAACACACTGGCTTTCTCCTTGAAGACAGTTAAATAGTATTCTACACGTTGTAAAACATATTCTATAATCTCATCCACATAATTCCATTTTGGTATTCTCATGATGAAGGCATAACAGATGCCGTTTTCATCAAGCATTGGGGCCATTGTCTGCAAAAACTGATCCCCTTTGTCATCATCCACAGCCCAGAGCCCAATCCATGTCCATCCAAAATGTCTGAGTAACTGCACAACCCCGATGTGCTGTTGGGCTTCATTTGGGACCATCTGGTACAAAAAGGGGTATAAAGTGTTGGCATGTTGTATTGGCAAAAATGATCCATAAGTGAGCTGAAATAAAATGCACAAGTATTCTTCATGTGGTCTTCTCTGTTTTGCCACCAAACCATTTAGCCACTGGCATGTCGACCCCAGAAGTTTATATACAATAGAACAAATGTTCCAGAGCCGTCTCTGGCAGTCAGAGCAGAAACAGGGAATTGGTGAGCTGAGCAAGTGGGTTGGAAAGGAAAGATCTCAGTACAGAGCTGTTCACTAAAGTAGTGTCCAGAGCAGACAGAGAAGATTACATCTACAATAAGAGCAAAGTCCCCACCCACCATCTCCTGAGACACTTTTTTTGTCATGCTCCGGGGTAGACACTTCCCTGCCTTCCTCGCTTGATACTGCCTTCTGGTAGCAAGGAGATTCGGTTTCCCACAGATTTGGCTACAGTAGGAATAGGGCTCCCTGCTATGTCTCTGCTCATTTAGTGCCCACGGTTTTCATTATGCTGGTTTGCTTCATGTAGATACTTCAGCTTGGCCCTTAGTGGGTATGATGGCCATGGACATTGTTGAGCTATATGTCACCTATCATAGCTACAGGGGTGCTATGGGCTTTAAAATGGAAAGTTACTTTTCTCATTTCCTGGAAAGAATGATTTGATGAAGTTTTGGGATTTGATAAGAATGGCCCAAAAAATAGATTTTATTTAATCTCAAAAGTGGCAATTAATATAGAAATAGATGCTAGGAAAACTGGAGGCCCTCTATACAACATTGCCATGGAAATAATTATCTCCTGCAAAAGCAACTTCAAGTACATTTTTAATTTTTTCTGAATAAATTACATTTACTTATGTAACATTGTGATGCAAAGTTATTTTGGGGGTAGTTTTGTTGATTATTGATAATAATTCTTAAAGAAATAAGATTTAAAAAATATGTTTTAAAAGTTCTTCTCTAACAGAATAATAAAAAACCCCATCACTTAAATATGCTAGAAAGGGCACAGATAGGTCCAATATACAACAATCATCTTGGATAGGATGGGAACTGCAAACACGGTGAGAGTGGGCTGAGCAGAGCTATGAGGTTCACATCAAAGATTGAAAAACCTGAAGAGAACTCTGGAGTGAGAAGTTTATTGAAAGATCAGTATTGAAGACTGTTCACAAGCTCTTGCCTGTGAGGCATGAGATCGGCTTCTGCAAAAAAAGTGTGCAACTTCCTCAAACCTCCCTCTTCTGATTGATTTTAAGAAATTTTCCATCTCTAGCTGCCACTATCCAACTTTAGGTCCATGAGACAAAGGGGGAAATTGGGGAATAAGACAAGGCTTTAATATTGGGAAGGAGGTGATTAGTGGGCCAAGTGAGTCATAGATTTGAACAGGGACTTGAGGTGGCCTTAGGACCATTGCTGATTCCTCCAGATATTTGGTTGTCCTGGGTTTCTCTACAGGGCCCCACAGAAGACTTCTCCCCAGCCTCTGTGTCCCACAGCATCCTGAGAGTTCCCAGCTCTGGAGTAAATCATGGATAAAAATGTTGAACTGTATCTGAGAAATGACAAAGCCCTGAGTCACTTCACTGCAAATTTATCTCAAGTCTGATTTACCTCCAGGATCAGCCCTGTTTTCAAAGAGCTGTGAATAAACCTGGTAGTATTATCACTTGGACTGCATTTAACCAGTTGGCTATTCAAAATATCGCAGGCCATGTTTTTGAAATCATGATATTGTGCCACAACTCTGAACTATCAGTACTTGCATGCACGCAGCTTACCTGTGGAGTCTTGTAGATGGCTGAAATGACGGCTATGTTGGCAGAGATTTCAGAGATGCATCCTCCAATGAGAGCTATCAGGTTGTTGTGGTTGTGACACTTGAAGTTGGGGACAAAGCGATGCCGTGCAGAAAAGAGGCTGAGGGTGGCCTTGTAGGTCGTCTTTGCAGTGTAGTAGCTATTGAGGGTGTGAAATCCCAGAGAGAGATTTGATAAAATGTTGGGATTTTCATTGATCTCTTTGACAGCATATGCTAAGGCCAGGATGTGCTGGTAGTTCTTTGGCACTGAACTGTAATAAAAGTAGTAGATGACACAAATACTGAGAGAAGCAAGAAAAATATGTGTGTCCTCTTCATCTCTCAGCTCATCTTTCAGTTGTTACAATCAAACAATAAATAAGATGAAATTGCGTCAAAAAGTAAGAAGGGATTATTTATTATCTGGAAATAGCAAGGTAACGGAAGAGCGTCTCCCACTTAGTGCTGTGTAATACAATAATACAGTATGTCAATATTACACTATTATGTAATACAATATGTCTTATGACCAATTTATGTAATACAATATGTCTTATGACCAATTTAAAAATTACACGCACCCCCCCTAATATATTACCTCTACCTATCTAAATAGGTACCAGAAGAGGCATATCAAGAGAATATTTCAAATGCTCCTCTCATATGCATACTCTCATCAGATTTGATTGTGGGTTCAATATATTTACAGTTGCAGCAACTGAGTGGAACTGGTCACATGAAATCTGGAGTAGGCTGAAGGAACAGCAGGATGAAATCAAGAGGAAGGATGGAATAGGGTGGTATGCCTGGACCAAAATAATATGAAATGAAAGTTTAAAAGACCAGATGACTGAAAGACAATGGGATGGGATACAGATGAAGGCCAGGGATGGTAGGGAACAAAGAGTAAGAAGAAGCAGTGTGGAGAAAAACAAATACATGCAAATGCCTCCACCTAGACAGAAACAGCTCAATGGAAGTTCTTAAGAGCCTTACACTTCAATGACACTTGTGTGAGAAAACTTACTAATGCTTTGTGCTAACAGTATAATGAGGAAGGCTAAATAGATATGAACAAGCTTCTGACATGACACTTTTCTCACTCCAAAAATGAACCTTTTTCTTAAAGACATATTCCCAGTAATTATATTCTGAACATACTTTGCAAGAAGTGTGTGTTTGTGTGTGTGTGTGTGTGTGTGTGTGAGAGAGAGAGAGAGAGAGAGAGAGAGAGAGAGAGAGAGAGAGACTTACATGGGCTCATCAATCACAATCTGTGTCGGCTGTTCCATGAAAGAGAGGAGATTGTAGAGCAAGAAGACCTGAGAAACAATTGCACTGATGACCAGGTCTCCCGGCAGGTAAAACTCATGAGGAATAGGGAGGGGATCGTCACGTATGCTGCAATTCATGGAATATGCCTGGCAAACACTATGACACAGCAGCACAAGCAGCAACATCACAACCAGCAGGATCCTTCTGTGGAGAGGATCTTCCCACAAAAAGCAGCTTCCCATGTTTCCCTCTGCAGAATTGCATGTGGCTTTGATCAGGATTGATTTCAGCAGGAGCTAGCTTTCATGAAAATAATCTGGATCAAATCATTTTTCTGTTGACTTTATTCCTTAGGGGTGAGTGGTAATTACTTTAAAAAGGGGAAATACCTCATATACAGGTAAAGTTATCAATGCCCTGATGTAAAGCAGGCAGAAAGGGTGAAACTTTGCAAATCGGTTTGTGCAAAGGAACAGAAATAATGCCAAAACAGGATTTCAAATAAAATCTGGGAAGTGGAAGATACAGCAGCCAAAGAGAAATGCATCAACATATGAAGCGGGAATGATGATTAACGAATGATACAGAATCTTGCCTATCTCTTGTTCTAAAAATTATGAGACTTTTGTAACTTCTTTCAGAAACTGATGGTTGATGTGCTACAGATCCCTGGAAGCACTTTTTGTTGTCAGTCGGATGGAAACCAGCAATTCTGGTAATGATAGGGGTGACTATCTATTCCCCAGGGTGCCCCTTGTTTTTGAAGTTGCATTTTTTTTGAACCTGTGAGGAGTCCACCCACTTTGCCTCCCTGGAGTCCTACAACTCATATTTTCTCTTTTGAAGAGTAGTTAGGAATATGTGACACGTAGCTCAGTAGGTCCAAGCTGCCTCTGCTCAAGTTAGAGTAAATTTAACTACACATCCCTGATATTAGGCATTGCCCAACAAGTCTTCATTTTTGTTATAATGTGAAATACCATATTTTAAGGTAGAATCACAATCTGGGGAAATTTGAGGCCCAGTTTCATCATGATGATGGGAACATCTCCTTTAACAAATCTGTTCTAATATTGTTTGCCTATAATATCTTATGGTCAAAAGAATTCATTTATGCAGTATTAGTCATATGAATGATGTAATAAAAATGGGGGTCAAAAGGTCTGGGGCCCAAGCATCTTCAAATCTATATTTTGACCATCAACGGGATTTTCAAAACCCATTAAAAAATATCTTCAGGACCTACAAAACTCAATATAGTGACAAGTGATGGCTCTATTAGTTTTTCAGTCTAGATTCTTTCTCAACTTTGCTACTCCAAATCCCCTGGGAGGTCATAAGAGAGCCTGCTTATGCTGAGGAAACAAGCAAACTCTTTCTCTGAAGTCATCTGTGGAGACACCATCGTCCAGCCTGGACACCGAGGTCCACCTCCAAAGGCCTTCTGATGGGTCTCTGACTGCAAGAAGTGAGGTTACAGGGAGCCAGGCCTTCTTGGCAGTGGTGCCCTCTCTGTGGAACGCCCTCCCATCGGATGTCAACGAGATCAACAACTATTTGACTTTTAGAAGACATTTGAAAGCTGCCATGTTCAGGGAAGTTCTTTATGGTTGATGTTTCATTGTATTTTAAAAAATTCATGGGAGCTGCCCAGTATGGCTGGGGCAACCTAGTCAGATGGAAGGCATATATGATGATCGTGATGATGATGATGATGATGATGATGATGACGAAAAAAGGAAGCCATCCAGATTGGTGTTTTATTGTAGGGGTATTTTGTAACACGTTCTGTAATAGTGCATTATTTGTATCTCTATTCTGCTTCAGTGTGTTCTGGGATACTTTGCCTGTGCAACCAAATTATTGCAGTAGCGCAAGCCAAACAGGACACAAATATACCAAAACATTTATGGAATAATAGGTTGCAGGAAATTATGTGATATGCACTGATTGGAAGTGAAGCTATGACCACCTGAAATATTTTGTGGACATGATGAGCATAAATCATCAAGATGTCTGGGTGGGTCAAGAAATATGAATACAACAGAGAGGAAAAGAGACGAGACACAAATTTATCAAAGATCATGAGACTTCTCCATTTAAGGTCAGTGAAGGATATGCCCATTATTTATTTTCTTCCCCTTATTAGGCTTTCCTTGTTGTTCAGGTCAGACCTCAGCACAATGATGTAGCATTTAGGGAAAAAGATGCAACCCAGTAAGCCAGCACTGGAGGACAAGATGGAGAAGACCTCCACGGCTACCATGTATTTCCCTTTGGTGCTCAGGTAGGTTGGAACAAAGGTCAGCCAAACACTGCAGAAAACCAACATGCTAAACGTGATGAATTTGGCCTCGTTAAAACTGTCCGGTAACTTTCTGGCCAGGAAAGCCACAAGGAAACTCACAACGGCCAGAAAACCCATATAGCCCAAAGCACAATAAAACATGGCAGCTGAACCCTCATTGCACTCAAGGATGATCTCACTCTTCAGTGACTGCATGTCTGTATCTGGGAATGGAGGGGAAGCACTTAGCCAAAGGGTGCAAATGCCAGCTTGAAGGAAAGAGCAGGAAAAGACCACGCAGTTGGCCAGCCCCTTCCCCACCCATCTCCTCATTCTGGATCCTGGCTTGGTTGCCATGAATGCTAGAACCACGGTGATGGTTTTGGCCAGAATACTGGAAAGGGCCACCGAGAAGACAATGCTGAAAGTCATTTGTCGGAAGAGGCAGGTCCCTTTTCCAGGCTGACCAATGAAGAGCAAGGAGCAGAGGAAGCAGAGAAGGAGGGAGATGAGGAGGAGGTAGGTGAGGCTGCGGTTGTTGGCTTTGACAATGGGAGTGTCCTTGTGCTTCACAAAAGTCGCCAGCACGAAGGTGGTGATCAGGAGAAAGCCAGAGCAGAGACAGCTAAGCTGAGCCCTAACTTTTCTTGGTAGGAGAGGTAGCTCAGCCCCTTGGAATACACCCTGTTTGGTCCTGGTTTGGGTAGTTTTCTTCTGCACACTTGACACAGGCATCCATATCTGGAGGGTGGAGGGGGAGAAGACGGAACAATTAAAAATGTCAAGATAATGACCTACATCTCCTGAAAGAATCAGTTACGGCAGGCAGTGAAATTCCTCCCCTCCCTCTCCCTTTCCTCTTTCTTTTGCTTTCTGTTATGTATTGGGTTTAACACATTTTATGTTAGAAGGCGCGTTCTAACCAATCGTATAAGCGTTGGTAGACGAACGGTCTAATGGCATGTAAACGCATGCACTTTCAACTGTCAACTGTCAACAGTCAGTTCATGCTCGGCACTATTTTTGTGTTGGCCAGTCAGTTCGGTTCTTGTTTTCCTATGAGTGAGCTGTTGTCATTGACAAATGTTAAATAAACGTAGTTGAGGAACTTATACTGCCTTGGGCTTCTGACTTGTTCCAAACATTTAACACTTTCTTTGGGTTTCCTTTGCTCTGGGCTGTTGTTAGGTGATTGTGCACACATGGGGGGCAAATAGCTGAGTGAGAGGCAGGGAAGGGAAAACCTCCCAAGGTGAGGGACTGGGAAAACAAAAGCTCTCAGGTGAGAGCTAGAAGGGCCCCCACTTTCTGAGTGAGACCAGAGTCAAGAGCAGCTTTGGAGGGAGGACTCTGCATTCTAGTTCTAGCTCTGTTTTTATGTAGTGTGGCTTCTTTTGACTTGTTGTATTGTGAAAAAGCCTTGATAAAATCTTATTTTAAAGAGAAATGAAAGGGCTTTTTGTGTTCATGCCGTTCTTTGACCAACCAAAGGACACTCATGATTTCAGTGAGAAAGTCTGGATGATGCTGAACTGGTCTACTAGATAGTTTTTCCATGAAATAGTAAATTCTGCTCTCGTTGAAAACCATGAATGCACTAGGCTGTTGTCTTATTCCAATACTCTGTTGTTGTTGTTGTTGTTGTTGTTGTTGTTGTTGTTGTTATAATTATTTTGTTGTGACTGTTCCTGTTGTGGAAAGTTTCCATACATTTAACTTTATTTCAAAGGGGAAAGGAAAGTTTGGTGAAATTTATTTGAGTGTTGTGCAGGACTTTTGTTGCACATATTTATTTTTCTGGTTGCTGGGTTTTTAGATGTGCTTTCCTTTATTCTACAACCCTTCCCACATACCCATGCTTCCTGAATACCATGATCCTCAGCTGAGCTTTATTTGAGATACCCCATGATTCACCTGGCAGCTGTTCATTTGATTGAAATATTTCTACTTCCAAAGAAACCATAAATACATTTCTTAAGGTAAAAGGAAGAACTTGTTTTTAACATACAGCCTGTTAACATTTTCAAGCACTTAGCATTCAAAGCCAGGAGAAGATGTCATGACAAAAGATCTTTTCAAATAAGGAATTGAGAGCAATCAGGGAGACTGAAGGAAATGGTAGAAATATTTAATGGGCTTAAAAGAAGACCTACACACCCCAGACCCATGGCATGGACGGTGGGAACTAGCATCATAATTTCTCTTCCAGGATTTTCCTATGATTTATTGGGGTAAACAATACTTGCCAAGTATAATTTGTTAAACGCGTTCATGTTGAGTAGCGTCACCTATTTTTCTAGAGAAAAAGTATTGCTCCTACCCTTCTGGTTAGAGATGGTCCCTTCTGGACATGGAACACAATCATAGCAGCAGAATTTCTCTCCCTCCTTCTTTTTCCTGCTGTAGCCAGGATAGCAGTTGTCATTGCACACAGAAACTGGCAGCATCTGCACCAAAACAAGAAAGGAAGATTAGCAAGAGCATATTATCTGTCATTCGACTGTCGCATGATTAGGATTATGTGCTGAGGAAAGAGAGCATGGAGCAGTCAGTTGTTCCAGCTTTCCTCCACATGTTGAGGGCTGGATATCTGTAGCAGGGAGTGTCCTCTACATTTATCCATTTTCAGAACAGTTTCAGGACCCTGCATTCAGAGCTCAACACCCGGAGGGAGACAGGGGTGGTCCTGATGGAGAGGTGACAGTCAACAGCTCCCCCTGTCAGATCACTCCACTTGTGTCAGGAGCGAACGCCTGAAGAGGGCTGGCCTACCCTAAGAATGAAAGATAGTGGCATGCTGAGTCCCAAGGATGTGGAGTCCTAGCTGGCTTCAGAAGGAAGCCTGGGCTGATCTGAATAAAGCATTGCAGAAAGGTTTATGGAGGCGAATCATATTCTCTGCCTCTTTCCAATGTCGTAGCTCAGCTGCCACCTGTGCACTGAACAAATGCCACCCCAGAGTGAGATGTGAAAGACTGCCATCCTCTCTCCATCACATTATTCTCCAGTATTCGTGCCCTTGTCTTCATAGCAGGTTAAGGAGCCAATGGCCTATAGATAGCAGATGCTCATGGAGCCTGGCAGCTGTGAGCCCAGAACCATGAGAGACAACCAGGAAGTCATGGGCCCTCACATCATGTGGGCTTTGGACAGATATAGCCTTTCTGACCACCCCTCAGCATCCCTGAACAGAATCCCTTGGTGGCTCTGTGGGGCTCAGATACTTTGGCACCCAGAGGCCCCTTGATCTGATGGAGATGGTGCAGAGGACCAATCCTGCCTGCCAAAGCAGTCAGTCCATGTTTTGCATCTATACTAGGGGAAACTGAGGAAAGGGGTAGGTTTTTGGGTTTTTTACAATAATAAAAATATTTTTGGCAATAGGGAAATATTCCTCAATTGAACCATGTTGCTTCTGTCCAGAGAGGGTATAAACAGAACAAATTCAACTGAATTGATAAGGCCCAAAGCTTAGCAAAGTTATTTTATTGACACCTAATGAGAATTAATGATGGGCAGATTAAGGTGGTACTTCCTCTGTATCTTACTCACTTTGGGTTGGGCTGGGCCGGGGGGGTATTGTTTTTGCTTGTTACCTTGGTATTACCAAGGAAGGGCAGTATAGAAATGTAACAAATAATAATATTCATTCCTGGGGAGAAAATGCCAGGATGGGAGGCGGGGGGATGTGGCCATGTAGGTGCTTCTCTTCATGCCTCAGGTTTCATCCCAAGTCATGCTTTCCATGTTCCCCCCACCAGCCCTGCTCTGCGCCTCCTCAAGCTCTTCTGCTTGGCTAGAATGTGGCCCTGCACAGTGATCATCCATCTTGCTTGCCTCTGTGGAGAACAGAGAGAACTACTGGGATGTATCCAGAAGCCTCTGTGTTTGGAATCGCTGGAATGTAGCCTATTCAACACAGGCCAGAATCATGCCTGCTGCTTCACCCTCTTTGGGCGCAGTCACTTCCCTCTTCCCCACCCACCACTGGCGTATGATCCCTGGATGGTTTCCCCTAAGAGAATGGGGGCAAAGGACTGACAAAGATTCTGAGCTCCTGGTTTAACTGGCTTTGTTAATAAGGAGATAGACTTCAGCATGGCCATGAGTGAATATGGAGATTGGATTACTAGCATCATGCCCAGAATATGGAAATATCCAGCAAATGGACATTCTCTATGGATACCCCACACTAGAAATCAAGCAATTAAAAAAAAGATTATGTGGGATTTTACCAAAATTAAATCTGGAACACAATAAGGAATTTTCAAAATTTTTGAAGCCAATCTCAATACCTGTCCTTCAGGCTTCAGCTCCCAGATACTGGTGCATTTTATTACACCTCCCATCCTCCCTGATTATTGGCTAACCTGCCTGATGATGATGGGAGTTGTAGTCCAACAACCTTTGGGACCCAAGGTTGATTTTCATGGCAATATCTGATCTCACACACAGCTATGTCTCACCTGATTAAAGCTTTTATGCCACTCAATCTGATCATCATGAATGGTTAACTCCTTGCCTAAAGGAGCCTGAGGGTTCAGTTTTCCAACTTTGGCTCTAATCACTGAACCATTGGGGTAAATCCTCCAGTTTGTAACATCGAAACCTACAACTAATTCTGCATTTTCATTGAAGTGCACACTATCTCCAGCACTGTTATTGAAAACGATGCTCCGTAGAAAACGATGGACCTGGATTGAAGGAGAAGAAAAAAGGACAACCATTTCACAAAGGGACATATGCTACTGCAGTAGAACTTCTATAAGCTGCAATTGATAGAGTTGCAATTCAGCAACACATGGAGAGCTGGGTGTTCCCCACACCTGGCATAGGTGGGGGCTTCATCCATCGGACTGTCATGTCCTACTCTTGAATTGTACATATCTCTTTTCCTTTCCCTGTCTCCACATGGGTGGCAGATTATGAATTACAAACAATTCACTAGACTGCCATTGCTTATCCAAGTGGATTTGCAAAAAGAAACCAAAAGAAAACTGTTCCCACATGCCTCATCGATAGCACCCCCAGGGTCCTGCTCCCAGGTCAACGTAAAACTCAGTTTGCTACCAACTTTGTGTTCAACGAACCTTCTATAGGTTGGTGAGACCATGCCTCTAGCACACTCTGCACCTAAGATTATAAACTGTTCCCACATTGATCACACTGGCCTTTATAACTTGGTTTCCAATTCAGGCATCATCCCATCTTTCACAACAAGAACAGGCTGCATGAGATCATGAAGGGAACTGGAGGGGTGATGGCTCTGGGGCTAACAGTACTGCTCTGGGTATCCACACCTTAAACATAGTTATAGTAAATCTCAACTTAAGTTTATGACACATGCTAAGTGGAACTTCGTCTGTTCAAGTTGCACTCACCACTTTGAAGCATCTTTTGGAATAAATGAATTTAGGTTTGAAATTTAAAATGCATCATCATCTAGGCAATCCTATACCAAGATCGCCCTGAATGGACAGGATTGAGATCCAGTGGATCTCTGGCTGAGTTGGGGGGTGGCTGGTACAGCCTGGCTATCCCAGTTTACCTTCCTCATCCTACTCTCAACTGGATGTACATCAGGGTCTCATCCTGCCTCAGCTGAACCACACCCAGACTTCACTGATGTCTTAAGCCCTCTTGCAGCAGAGCTTAATCGGTTTCACAGCAATGCAGTGGGGATTAGGCTGTGACGCCTCTCTTAGGAATCCTTTCTGGGCACTGCACCCCCCCTTTTCACCCACAACTAGACCAGTCTTTAAAGGAAGCACACAAAGGGAGGAAGGCCCCCTGCTGCAGCCTGCTTGCCACTAATGTCTGTACAACAGCAACTTCATTTTTATGAACATTTGTAATGGGAAAAAAGAATGGTTGTCAGATTCCTTTGCCTTTTGGCTTATTGTTGTGGGAAAGGCTAGACAGGAAGGGCTTCAACTAAAAATGTTGATTTGCACAACACTATCATTTTGAAGACCATTATTCACCCTGTAAGTGAATAACTTGATTTTCTTCCTTACCTTTATTTCTGGATCAAATGTAAACCAACCTTTAAAAAATGTGTTGTGACTTAATTACCTGCCATGGTTCCATATTCTGAAATGCCATTTTTCGTCCTTCTTCCAATCTTCTATGCATGGATTTGAATTTGAATATAGCATTCAGAGCATGTGCCACAGCATAGATAGCGTTGTAGACATTGTAGCTGTGGCCAGTCATTTTCATTTCAAACAAACCTCCAGGAAGACTCTCCAGATTCTCTTCCCCAGTGCAGGTTTTATTCTCCTCTCCTTCCCACTCCTTGGACGTTGTTAGCAAACAGTCAAAAGCCTGTTCCCAGAAGTCTTGAATAAAGCCATCTCTTTTGAACCACAAAGGTCTTACCATCTGAAGGAACTTCTGGAAACCCTCAGGCTGATTTGAGTGAACTGTGAAAGATATGGAACCATGGAAGGTTTGTAAATCCCAATTCTTTTGAATAGAGTGTGATGCAAAATCCCAGTGAGATGTAACAATCCAGACTTTTCCAAGAGGTGGCAATTCTATGAATGGTGCTACAAAAAACAACATTCTCAAAACCTGAAAGGATGGAGGTTCTCCATACACAAAAAACACACTGGCTTTCTCCTGAAGACAGTTGAATAGTATTCTACACGTTGTAAAACGTATTTTATCATCTCATCCACATAATTCCATTTTGGTATTCTCATGATGAAGGCATAACAGATGCCATTTTCATCAAGCATTGGGGCCATTGTCTGCAAAAACTGGTCCCCTTTGTCATCATCCACAGCCCAGAGCCCAATCCATGTCCATCCAAAATGTTTGAGTAACCGCACAACCCCGATGTGCTGTTGGGCTTCATTTGGGACCATCTGGTACAAAAGGGGAATAAAGTGTTGGCATGTTGTATTGGCAAAAATGATCCATAAGTGAGCTGAAATAAAATGCACAAGTATTCTTCATGTGGTCTTCTCTGTTTTGCCACCAAACCATTTAGCCACTGTCACGTCATGTGACCCCCAGAGGTTTATACAGTCATACCTCATGTTACGTTTGCTTCATGTTACGTTCTTTCAGGTTATGTCCCGCGGCGACCCGGAAGTATCTGAAAGGGTTACTTCCGGGTTTCGCTGCTCGCGCATGCCCTGAAGTGCAAAATTTCTAGCTGCCACTATCCGACTTTAGGTCCATGAGACAAAGGGGGAAATTGGGGACTAAGACGAGGCTTTAATATTGGGAAGGAGGTGATTAGTGGGCCAAGTGAGTCATTGATGTGAAGAGGGACTTGAGGTGGCCTTAGGACCATTGCTGATTCCTCCAGATCCTTGGTTGTCCTGGGTTTCTCTACAGAGCCCCACATCTTTCCCTCAGAAGACTTCTCCCCAGCCTCTGTGTCC